GCAGCTATTCTCCATGAAAAAAAAATTCCACCCTTCCCATCAGCTTTCTGTCCCAATCATTGGGAGTTAAGGAAACACAGGTAACAGACCTTTCACCAGGAATTTAAATTTTACCAACTAAAACAAATACAACCACCTAAAGGTAGCATGAGGAAAAGGAAACATCAATGTATGGGCCAGTGTCCCTGGCCTCAGGAGTTATATAAGTGCCAAGACCCTAGTCACAGACTGGGAGATGCACACCACTAGGCAGTACAGGGAAGAAACTAGAGCCTCTCCACTCCCCATCAGAGACGCGATCCTAGATTCTGCATTTCTACCATTCCCTTGAAAACATTATGTTGTCAAGGGCTTCTGAATCTAGTCACCATTCATCAAACCCAGAAACCCCAACTCCCATCTAGAACCAAACACCTCACAAGCTCTTAGAACCAAGAAATCTAGTGTCCTCTCCCAAATCCTGAAGGAAAGACCTTGGCATCCAAAGCCCACTGGGGTGAGAAAAAGGGAATCTATCCCACCAAATCTATTCCTCCCAACCCACTCTGTGACACCTCACCCAATTCCTCGCCCACAGCCCCTAAGCCTCCCCACCTCTACTTTCATTAATCTTTGCCACACCCCCACGTCTCCCTTCCAAACCTCAACTCCTTCAACCCCCCCACACCACTACTCTACTACTCTTATCTCTCTACCCTCCTCCCCTTCCTCCCCCACTTCCCAAAGCACATTTTACCCCTTCTTATCCCCACCCTCTCCCCAGCCTTGACTGACCAGATGAGAAGGCAACCTACCTGGCAAGGAAGGATGTGCAGGGGGGCTGGAGCCCCCAGGTTTGGTCTGAGAACTGTTGATTCCATCCCCCAAAGTCTCTCCCACTGAAGGGCTAGGGGGTCCATTTGGGCTAGGTGGCTGTCCTTGGGGAAGCTCCTCCTCCTGCCCAGGAGGACCCCTTCTCCCTGTAGCTATGGAAGTGGTTTCTTCCTCTTCGGTATGAGGGGACTGCAGGGTTATTGGAGAATCTGGAGCCAAAGGCTCTAAGAGCCCCTCAGGCGAAGAGGGATTTGCCCCAGCCCCCGGATCAGGGGGCACCACCTCAGGAGTTTGGCCCCCTGGTCCAGGCTCTAGGGTCTGATCCCCTGCATCCCATGCAAGGGTCCCTTCAGGACCATGGTCCACTTCTGGGGGAGAGGGGGCTTTATAGAGTAGCCCCCCCAGCCCCAGCAGCTCAGTGGCTCCATCCAGGACTCCAGGGTCTTTTTCCAGGCCAGCAGGGGTATCAAGCAAGTCCAGGGCTCCTGAGGATGGAGAAGGGCCAGGGGGCGCCCATCCTCGAGTTGGGGCAGTCTGGGATTCCAGCAGATCCTCTCCAAATTCCATCCCTACTGGAAGATCTACAGCCAGGGGCTTCTCTGGCAGGGTCAATGGATCAAATGGACTGGGGAAATCACTGGGGTCCATGAGGATGGCTGGATATGGGCTGCAGATAAGGAGTAGAACAGGGGGCAAGAGAGGTGGTCTTAGCCAGAATTCCTCCCCAGACAAGCTCTGGGACACACCCCATCATCCACTTGGATTTCTCACCAACAGCCCCCACCATCACAAACGACAAGCATTTCCACAGACAGTAGTCTTCGTGACCACTCCCCCCCACACACAGCGCCCCCTGTGGGGAGAGGCGTTCCCCACCCTGGCC